TCTTTTTCTCAAAGCAGCCATGTCTTTCCTTCCTGGCTCCATGCACTAATGATGAGCACCAGAGGCAGTTGCACCAAAGTGACTCTCAGCCCAGTTCTGCATCTGTCTCTCCCACCCAAACCCAAGGCAGCCAGGAGAGCTCTTGGCCATCACAAGTCTAGTAACTCCATTTGGGTTTCTTTCCTCTGCACACACTCTAGCAGGGCAGTACAGGAGGCTCTGATCATGTCCCAAGAACCTTCTTTGCCCCCTGGCAGCACCTTGCAGACATGCACCTTACTGGGAATGAGCTGGGTCAATGCTGGTGAGATCTGGTGCTGCTCATCTTGCATGGGTGGCAGCTGATGGGGATCCACAGGGGGAAGCTGGCAGGAAGTGGCTACTGTCCCTTTTTATTTCTTTTTTGGAGGGAGAGGGGGATATTTTTGGCATTATGAGTATTGTCCACCTTCCAGTGGCCAAGTTCTGGGCTGCATTAATAATTGGGGTTAATTGGCTGTCAGGGCAGGTATGGAGCTTTGCATCAACTTTAATAGCAAATGCAGTTGCTGTATCCAGAGCCTGGACACAGGCTGGGTTTCTCCCAAGCTGGCAAAGTGCTTTTCAGCAGGCTCCAGATACATGTTTCTGGCAGTCAGGGAAACAGCAGTCCTCCAAGTCCAGATCAAATCTATGCTTCCATCTCATGTCTTTAGCTTGGAAAAAGCTCAACCCAAGCAAATGCTTCCGAGGTCTCCTTTCCCCATGTGGTGCCAGGCACCCCAGGGGAGGAGGTGGCAGGAGGCATTTGGGGGTCACCAAAAGGGAGATCCTTTTCGGATGTATTTAATGGAAATACCTTTCAGGAAGAGAGAACTCCCAACTTTTGCATTAATCTCAGAGCAGGAGATGAATTTCCAGCTGCCCTTGCATATAGTGAAACATAGCTGAAACAGCCAAATGCAAAGTAGAGTTAAATGTAGGGTTTGACCTGAATAACCTTTTAATTAGGAAGATAAATTTGTTGTAGCTTGACCTTAGTCCATGTTAGGAACCTGCTAATCATTTGACATGCAGAGTGTATTAATGCTGCACTTAACTTGGCCATTGGTTTTATTATCTGGCTTTGGGAGTTTTTTCACTCCTGAAGCATCAATCTGCATCTTGTATGGGTTTTTTTTTCTTTCTTTTTCCTGTTAAGAACATGTAGCACACTGTTGTACTTCTGTTCCTGTCCACGTAGAGTATTGCCTTAAACAGATCAGTTGTGTTGTGGTTTGTTTTGGGTTTTCTTTTTTTCTACCATCAGTTTTATGCATTAATTTATTTTAAAAGGTGGGGTTTTTTTTCAAAAACATGAAATATGTATAATATTTTTTTTTAACATTTCCATTGCAGTATTTATCATTGTTACTGGTTGTGTGTAGTGTAACAAAATTAATGATATTAAAAAGCATACATATGAAAACCAGCCTGGCAGCCTTTTTCCTTGGAGCAAACTGGGGTGAGAGGGTACAACCTGCAGCATCTCCTCTGAGCCCCCAGCAACTGCAGATACTGAAATCAAGGGGTGCCAGCCTTCACACCCTGGTCAGTACCAGCCTGACTGGGCACAGCAGAAGTGGCTGGGCTGGAAATGTGCTGTACAGCACAGGTAAACCCCCCGGGGCCAGCCAGCAAACAGGCAGAATTCAGGAAACCCTTCTCCCCAGGGAAGCTGGAAGATGTCTCAGGCTGGACTGGGCCCCTGCCTCTGGCCTGTGACAGCAGGAGAAAGAAGTGCTGCACCAGGACAACACTGATGGGTGAAATAACCTTTCCTCTAGCCTTGCAGCTATTTCTGCCCCTCAAAGCCATTGGCACAAGAGCCAAGTACTGATTTTAGAATCCAAGGCCAGCTCCTGGAAACCCAGGGACTGCCAGGGACAGGGGACAACCCTGGGGGTGTTAGTGGCTCTTGCTGGCACTGGTCTGGTGCAGAATTTAGTCTTTCCCCAGCTGAGAGGCTTGGACTCTCTGTATAAAAGCTGATTTTAAAAATTGATTTATCCTGGTCTGGCTCCCTGGGATGCACCAAGGCCACAGAGCTGAGGTGGGGGTATAGACACCTCAGTGCCCACACTTCCCTCCCCACCTCCCACTACCTCCCAGGAGAAATGAGGGATGGAGACCCAAAGCCTGGCTCAGCAGAGACCAGCAGGACGTGAAAATCAAGGGCAGCTTTTCTTCTTCTTTTCATCTCTAACAGCACAAGAACCAAGTTTGCCTGGACGCATTTGGGTGCCTCAGGCTGCCCAGCCCCACTGTCACCCACAGCAGACAGAGCAAGGCTTCTGCAGCCCTTCAGTGGGGTGGGTTGTCATGCACCCTGCCAAGGTGGGCATGAGTCTTCACTGATCCTCCAAAAGCACAGCAGAGGTGCCAGAGCCAAGAGCAGAGCAAGGCTCTGAATTGGCCCTGTGTGACAAGCCAGGCCAGAGCAGGGTTCCTGCAGGTGCAGGGATTTCTGCTCAACATTCCAGCTTGGGAAAAAGCAAACCCAGTTCATGCAGATCCTTCCCTGGCATAGCCCAGCTGCCTCTCTCCACTGAGATGGACGAGGATCACTCACTCTGACTGCAGAGCCCCTCACCCAGGACAGAAGAGCAAACAAGTCACACAGGATCACCTATATCCAGCTTTTTTAATTAAAAAGGGGAGACAGAGCAGGCAATAATTCCCCTGGCTACCCCAGCAGACTGTGACAGCAATGTTTGGTGCTGTGCACTGATGTGGTGCGGTGCTGCAGGGTTTCCAAGGAAATACAAGACAGAGGGTCTGGAGAAGCCACAATCACTGCTCCTGCACCTCCCCAGATAAAAGTACCTTCACCAGGACCAGCTGAAACTGTTTCCTACCACTGTTAAGGTAATTGCCTGCAGGAGGGCAGGAAGCTGGGAACCAGGACAAAGCCAGGAGGGTGCAGCCTGTGGAGGGATGCAGGCAGCAATTGCTCTGCCCTCTGTTAGAACCACAGTGTAACTATGGGAGTGCCAGAAAGCCACCAAACCCCCCTGCTCCCACACTGTGACCTCACCCAATGACATAAGCATCACCTTGGGCTGGCAGAGCAGTAGCAACAGCCCTGTTCCCTTTTCCTGTCTGGGCTGCAAGCATTTTTTTTTAACATTTCCATTGCAGTATTTATCATTGTTACTGGTTGTGTGTAGTGTAACAAAATTAATGATATTAAAAAGCATACATATGAAAACCAGCCTGGCAGCCTTTTTCCTTGGAGCAAACTGGGGTGAGAGGGTACAACCTGCAGCATCTCCTCTGAGCCCCCAGCAACTGCAGATACTGAAATCAAGGGGTGCCAGCCTTCACACCCTGGTCAGTACCAGCCTGACTGGGCACAGCAGAAGTGGCTGGTATGGAAATGTGCTGTACAGCACAGGTAAACCCCCCGGGGCCAGCCAGCAAACAGGCAGAATTCAGGAAACCCTTCTCCCCAGGGAAGCTGGAAGATGTCTCAGGCTGGACTGGGCCCCTGCCTCTGGCCTGTGACAGCAGGAGAAAGAAGTGCTGCACCAGGACAACACTGATGGGTGAAATAACCTTTCCTCTAGCCTTGCAGCTATTTCTGCCCCTCAAAGCCATTGGCACAAGAGCCAAGTACTGATTTTAGAATCCAAGGCCAGCTCCTGGAAACCCAGGGACTGCCAGGGACAGGGGACAACCCTGGGGGTGTTAGTGGCTCTTGCTGGCACTGGTCTGGTGCAGAATTTAGTCTTTCCCCAGCTGAGAGGCTTGGACTCTCTGTATAAAAGCTGATTTTAAAAATTGATTTATCCTGGTCTGGCTCCCTGGGATGCACCAAGGCCACAGAGCTGAGGTGGGGGTATAGACACCTCAGTGCCCACACTTCCCTCCCCACCTCCCACTACCTCCCAGGAGAAATGAGGGATGGAGACCCAAAGCCTGGCTCAGCAGAGACCAGCAGGACGTGAAAATCAAGGGCAGCTTTTCTTCTTCTTTTCATCTCTAACAGCACAAGAACCAAGTTTGCCTGGACGCATTTGGGTGCCTCAGGCTGCCCAGCCCCACTGTCACCCACAGCAGACAGAGCAAGGCTTCTGCAGCCCTTCAGTGGGGTGGGTTGTCATGCACCCTGCCAAGGTGGGCATGAGTCTTCACTGATCCTCCAAAAGCACAGCAGAGGTGCCAGAGCCAAGAGCAGAGCAAGGCTCTGAATTGGCCCTGTGTGACAAGCCAGGCCAGAGCAGGGTTCCTGCAGGTGCAGGGATTTCTGCTCAACATTCCAGCTTGGGAAAAAGCAAACCCAGTTCATGCAGATCCTTCCCTGGCATAGCCCAGCTGCCTCTCTCCACTGAGATGGACGAGGATCACTCACTCTGACTGCAGAGCCCCTCACCCAGGACAGAAGAGCAAACAAGTCACACAGGATCACCTATATCCAGCTTTTTTAATTAAAAAGGGGAGACAGAGCAGGCAATAATTCCCCTGGCTACCCCAGCAGACTGTGACAGCAATGTTTGGTGCTGTGCACTGATGTGGTGCGGTGCTGCAGGGTTTCCAAGGAAATACAAGACAGAGGGTCTGGAGAAGCCACAATCACTGCTCCTGCACCTCCCCAGATAAAAGTACCTTCACCAGGACCAGCTGAAACTGTTTCCTACCACTGTTAAGGTAATTGCCTGCAGGAGGGCAGGAAGCTGGGAACCAGGACAAAGCCAGGAGGGTGCAGCCTGTGGAGGGATGCAGGCAGCAATTGCTCTGCCCTCTGTTAGAACCACAGTGTAACTATGGGAGTGCCAGAAAGCCACCAAACCCCCCTGCTCCCACACTGTGACCTCACCCAATGACATAAGCATCACCTTGGGCTGGCAGAGCAGTAGCAACAGCCCTGTTCCCTTTTCCTGTCTGGGCTGCAAGCCCCACGCTGTGCTGCTTATCCAGTGGGGCACTCCCCGGGACACTCTGGTACCCCAAGCACTCCTGTCCCAGAGGGCTACAGCACCATGTTCCTTCCCTGCCAAAAACACAAGACCCCTGTCAGCACCTACACGGACTCGTACCGCCCGCCATGCACCGTCCGAAAGACCATCAAAGACGCTGTCGTTATGCAGCCGAGAGGACTCGAGTTACTGACAAAGGTAAATAAATGCAGCAGGGGGAGGAAGCCTCAGTGTTTCTACCCCTACCCAGGTGCTCAGTGCTGGGCAAGGAGGGTGGCATGGGGACTGACAGGGTGTGTCTCGCTGCGTATGTGTAAGTTCTCGTCCCCTGGAGCTGCACCCTGCAGGGCTCTCAGGCTCTTAGGGCTGGCAGTCACCAGCACAAGCTGTGTCAAGCCCCATCCATCAGTAGGTTTCAGAGTGCACAAGGGGCAGGATCTGCTGAGGAAGGAGAAACTGAGGCAGGGCTCAGCCCAGGGCTGGTGTGGGACATGGTGTCCCATGGAGGGGCAGGTTGGGTGGCTCTGAGAGCTGCCTCAACACACAGCCTGCAGCCTCAGCTTAGTTCTGACTGGGGGACCTTCCATGCCAGAGGGACCATGTGAAGGACCAGGGGGAGATCTGAGTACTGAAAAACCCCTCCCAGCCCTAGTCCTGGAGGAGGAAGGAGTCCTGAGCCATGGCCTCACTGTGGGTGAGGGGAGGGGTCTGTGGGACAAGCAGCTTTCCCCACATGAGCTAGGAAATGTGCCGGCTCCAACACAAAGCATGCTGCAAACTGGTTCTTCTCTTGCAGCCTCATTACCGTGTGCATTATAATGAGGGAGCCAGCAGAGGGCACGGAGATCGATATCCCCACTTTGCAAGGACATAAACGGCTCATACAAATAGGGCACCCATCTGCCCAGCAAGACTCCAGCCCTCTTGGGCTTTGTTATCTGTAGGACATTGTTTTGGTCCTGTAACTCCCTTCCCAATGCCTGCTGGCCCCACAACTGGTTACCCCACTGCCCGTCTCCTACTCTGCCAGGTACCCAGATGCTGATGAACACCCTGAGTGACAGAAGCTAATGACACTCAGCCATTCTCTGTCCCTTGGTTTCAGGGGGAGAGGGGATTCAGGGGGCGGGGGAGGGGTGGAATCCCAGTGCTGCTAGGACCCCCATGCCCACACACTGTGAAAGGGGGGGTTTGGTGCTCAGATCTCCAGATGCATCTCCAGCATTAGACCATGCCTGGTAATCAGCTTCACTATGTGCCCCGATGACCAGGAGGGCAGGCAGTGCTGCATGGCCTGCTTGTCCCTCCTCACTCCCTGGTGTTTGTAGGGATTATGGTCACCACCAAAGCAAAACAAAGCCAGCCAAGACAAGCCTCAGGAGCTGATTAAGAGAATGCTGCAGGAGTACTACAAGAACACCATCCACACCGTCTGCTACCCTGAGACGCCATGGCCGACCATGTCCAAAGGTACTGCTGAGGTCCCCCATCTGTCCCCCTGTGTCACGCAGGGCACATCCCCACGGGGACAGCAGCTCTGTTCATCCGCCCTTTTGCATCCTGCTTCCTCCCCACTGTGGCAAAGGGACCTTCCCCTGGCATCTGCATCTGTGGCTTTGCCACGGCTGCTCACCTCTACGCTCACAGCGACAAGTCCCAGGATGTCCACAGGTCCCCAGGGTTCTCTCCCCTAGTGGCCTCTAAATACCACCTGGTGGTAAATGCTGTCTGGGGAACACTCTCCTGGCACCCTGTAGCCCCCCAAGGACAAAGGCTGCAAGGGCAGGGATGAGCGACTGAAGAGCTGGATGAAAGTGGTGGGTGTCACCTCCATCACAGGAAACCCGGGAGCAGCATCTCTGACACTACCCCTGACCCCGTATTTCAGGGAGAGAGGGAACAGTCAGGACTCTCTCTGGCTGTCCCCCCGGGTGCCCAACTCCACAGGACAGCCCTGCCTGTTGCTTTTGCATTGCAGAGAAGTACAAGCCAGTTTTTGTCAATCAGAACAACTACATCACCTGGAGAACAGGTCCTTACAACAGCGCAGCCTGGAGTAAGCACTCCTGTTACCTCCCATTCCTGCCCAAGGTAGAGTGCAGACCCCCTGGTCCCCCCAGCCTGCAGCCACCTCAGGTGCCAGTGGCACCTTGGGCTCTGCAGCAAATGGGTGGCAATCCTGCAAGGGCTGCCATCATTCCTTACAGGAGGCAAGGATGGAGACCTTCCTGCACAGCATTCCTGTGCTGTACCCCCCGAAACCCACCTGCCTCAATCAATGTGGTAACTAGCCTCGCCCTGTCCCTGTACTCCAGCTGTAGCTGTGCCTGTGCCGTGCTGGCATCCACCCGGGTGACAGGCTGGCTGCTCCTTCCCACCCTTCCCTTTCTCCATCTATTCCTTGGCTTGCAGAGAGGGAGGCGATGATAGACATCCTGCACAGGCTGTCACGGTACTCGCCGCCGTGCCTGCAGCCTCTCTACACAGTGACAGGGGAGGGAAC